ATGAATGTTTTATGTCTATGGGCCAAACCATCTCTCTATCATATGGTGGACTGTTTGAGAATAAATAAAAATGACCGTATCATGTACCAGACATCAGTTTGAACATAAATTCGTTTCTGTTTGAACATAGACCGCCGCCAAAAGATAGGTTACATTATTTAATACTACTTTAAATAGGATGATTTTGAAACTTCCTCGTTTCTGCAGTGCATCTGAAATGTTTGCGCAGGCGAGAATGGATGGTTTTCAGGCACTCATGCGGAAGAAAGTGGCATCACTGATAAGCCGTATACGGGGGAATAACAACAGCAGCCTAAGGACGGTGGCAGATGATCCACATGCACCTATATTATAATAATAATTATAGTACTACTAACGCCCTTACTATTAAAATTAATTACTAACCTTTATGGATCTATGTTGTCCGAAAATATACATATTTTATAATCTATCTGTGTGAAAAGCTTAACAGTATAGAATATAAGATGAATGTATAGAGATATTCCACAGGCCATACAATACCTTCAAAACTCACTACGCGGTATTAATACGAAACGTTAACCTAAACGGATGCAACAAACATGGTCGACTTCAAGAAGAAAGAGAGCATTCTTCTGGAGGCCGCAATCGCATTGTCAACTGATATTGTTATAGAAATGGTCAACATATCTTGTGGTCTACACATGGCGGTATAAATACCTTGTATTTATACACGGAAGTTATCGTCATAATTACAGTTTTGCAGCTAAACAAACTTTTTTTTAATGGGAAATGGGTGACAAGTGAGCACACAGTCCACCTGATGGTAAGTGGTTGCTGTGGCCCATAGACATCTACATCCATCTTCGTTTGCGAATCAAAATGAAGATGCGTTGTCAGCCTTGAGGACTAAGATGGAATGCCTCTTTTCCAGTAAAAAGGGTCTCCTGTTCCCTACACTCACCATACGAAACACAGCAGCATTAAGCTGCTATTTGACGCTGGTACTCTGCGAGAGCGTGGTCCTTCCCCGGTCGAGCCGACCCATTCGTGCTACAACTATACAATTAATATGGCTGCAGCATGGCTCTACCACGTAAAAAACTTTGATGCGCAGTTTACCGATCTGCTATTAATATCCGTAAGTTGCTGTGTAGACTTCTTTAAAAATATATATTTGTTATCAGGATTTTATCACCCCAACGATTAGGTTCCATTCTATTATTTAATCGATCTATCTTATCTTTAAAAAAATTCTTTTTGGTTGATTACTATCTACCGACGAACATATCTTATGTATATCTACAATTTCTTTATAGAAGGTGACTTATTGCCTTTATAATTTAACTAATAGAACATTTTATATTTTGTATCATACATACACTAGCTGTTCCCCGCGACTTCGTCCGCGTTTAATTTGTTACGATTGAATTTCATGAGTATAATTTTTTTTACGCAGAAACTTAATGATTTTTTAAAATAAATGTTGTCTAAGTTACTTCTCATAACATTAGCTAGCAGTTACCAGTGAAAGTCCCGTCAAATTCGAACCAGATATTTCGGAGATCAACCGGAACAAACAGACAGATAGACGGACAAAAACTTGATAAATTGTTTATCTTTTTTGTATAAATACCGTTTATATTCATATGTTTTAGACATGTGTTCATATGTTTTTTTGATGCTTTTATAATAATTATAATAATTTATTAAAAAAAACTTTAACTTGTAGTACATATCTTATTTTATTATATTAGTATAATCTTACATGAGATAGCTATAAAATTAGGTGAAAAAAAAAACACTAGTGAGGGTGACGTTCTGTTCTCCTTGCTAGACTAAGAAATATTCAGTCCCTTACCCCCTTTCAAAAGTTATATTCATATATATATATATATATATATATATATATATATATATATATATATATATATATAAATAAAATGGCTACCTTTGTGTATACACGTGTATTTGACATAATGTTATTTAATAGACTTGGTATTAGTTATAAATACAAATAATACTTGCCTAATAATGTAGGTAAAATATATAGATTTGGCGATTGATTAGGTATAATTTATTTACATTGATTAGAGCACACTCGAGCTCACCCGTTGAGCGAGTAAAAGCTATATATTGTTTAAGTATTCGCCATTATTTTGTTTAATTTTAAATTATATTTTGTTCATGATTATTGTAATAAAAATGAAGAAAATCATTTAATTAATTCGAATCTACACGAGTATTGCCTTTACGATATTTTGAATCTTGAAGAGTACTCTAAAGATTCTCGAATGTAAGTATACAGTTACTGCCTATTAAATCCACTGCTGAACATGGGCCTCCCCCATAGATTGTGTCATACAGGGGACTTGGCAACTGCAGATTTTTTATTTTTAGTCGTTATTAAGAAGAAGCTGCTGCCCATCTCCTGGTTTCTTTCCCTCTGTATGATATGGGGTAGTGGATATTCTTACACTTCCACTACACAGTAAATAAGTATAGTATCACGTAATACGTGATACCCATGTAAAAATATGCTTACAGGATGCTATAATAGCAGTATAGAGAGCTTACTTCTTACTCATTGTTATTAATATATATGTAGGAAGCGGAATCAACTTGCTATCGGGTGAACTACGTTCGTTTCTCACTCTAATGGATTTTCGATATATCGATCATTATAAATATATTAATATCAGAGTTTTACATATAAGTTTGTTCATGGACATATCTAAAATCCGATATTTTAAAAAATATCAACAGTTTTAGTTTGAACTGATCAGTTGGAATGATCAGTTTAACTGACCGTGTGTGGTCACCATTATACTAATATAAAAAAGGTACTCGTGTTGTGTGTGTCTAAATACCGTACTATTTGTAATAGATAAAAACTACATATTTGAAATAATTTTAAATTAAAAAAGTAAAACATCTGAAATATTTTTTTATCGAATAAGAGTGAGAAACGAGTACACAGTCCACTTGATGGTAAATTGATGCTGTGGCCCATAGACATCTACATCTATCCTCGATTAAGAATCAAAACGCAGATGCGTTGTCACCCGTGAGGACTAAGATGGAATGCCTTGTTTTCAGTATAAAAGGATCTCCGGATCTCTACACTCGTCATAGGAAATCAGCGGTATTAAGCTGCTATTTAACGCTGGTATTCTGTGTATTAATTGCTTGGGAAAAAAGGTTGTCGAGTGGCTGCCTCGTACCGGTAGGTAAAGTGTAGGGCGACCCCCACTAGATGGAGTAACGACCTGGTAAGGTGGCTCAGGACCGTGCTTTGTGGCATACCTCGACGGAGGCCTATGTTCAGCAGTGGACTTGTGAAGGGCTGTTATGATCATGATGATGATGATTCTGTGAGAGCGTGGTCTTTCCCTAGTCGAACCGACCCATTTTATCTACGATTTATTAAAATACTATTGTTTTACTTTTATTTCATTGAGCGACAAAAAGGGAAGAGCAATTCCATTTTTAAGAAATCGTTCTTCAATCAGACACTATTTTTAAAGATTAGCGTGGCGTATTCTATTATGTATTATGTATACGTAATACATAAATAGTATATACATCAGTAGGGAACAGCCTTTTTTCTCACACAGCTGTTAGTTCGCGGTGTATATCGGTTGGTGTCATCACTAGCAAGCCTGTATCGAAGAAACCTGAAACCAAAGGTCATTAAGCGTTATGCTTTACAGCTTATCAGACAGATTGCATTAACATACACACAAAACGGCAATAACAGAACTGCTTATTGCTAAAAATCTTCAAACATAAAAAGAAAGAAACCTTCAACAACCAAGCCAAGTTTTATATAACTGGAATGTTAAAATTATATGCATTTAAAAGAAAAAAAAGAAAATAAACGTTAAAGCAATAACAATATTTACCTAATAATTTCACAACTACAATAAATTACCAAAAGCCAGTTTTTAACAATTCTTCTGTTTCCTCATATATACGCATATATTTTGAATTTTAAAGAATATCGGCTGATCAGCTAAACATTGATTTATGTACTTAACGGACATTTATAAAAATATTCATCGACATTTTGTATTTTGCCTTTTTGAAAGTCGTCAAGTCTATATGCCAGACAATTCGTAATGACTATAGAAACAGCACGTAGACGCAGCGTAGTAGAAAAATCGGTCTATAGTTCTTCAAAAGGGTGTTGTTGCCTTTCTTAAAGAAAAATACTACGGCCACACTGCTCAAAACCTCCGGAGTAGTGCCACATTGAAGAATAGAATATAACTGCTTCGAATACAAAATTTGAAAGAGGAACACAAAACACTATAATTATGGCACCGGAAAACTTCGGGCACAGAATAAATAATGGTACTAAGTACAGAAGTTGCAGTCCTTTGATGCTGACTGCTTGCAGACGTTTAATACCTCTATGTTTAAATTGATGTTTGCTGGGATTATTTTTTATCGATGTGTTAAATAAAAAAAATGTCTTAGCATTCGCCCAAAGCCAGTATGATGTATGATGATTGCACATTACAGGCTGAGAAGGATTCCGTTTTAATCCTCAGAGGTGACGACGCCCAAAACCTTAACCTTAAAGCCTTATTTGGTTGAAGGTTGCTGCTGGTGTCTATTAAATGCAAAAGCCACTTACCATCAGGAGTACGGTAAGTTTGTTTGTCACTTCAGTCTAGTAATTACAATTAATGGACTATTTGTCTAGCTATTTCGTAAAAGAAAAATGTGGAAATTTATTTGACTGTTTACAAACTTATGCGTAATGTAATTAAGTCATGAGAATATCGAAAAATAATTTGCTGATAAAATCATTGTTTTTCATAGAGATTAATCGGTATCGAACATTTTGCGAATTATCTGTACTTGAAATCATACTTTCTAAGAATCATACTGATAATTTGAATTCATGTATAAAACCTAGAGAATGTATAAATTATCTGCAGTTCTAAAATTGCTATCATAAGTTTCTGTGCATAACGGGAAGATTACAACATATAATAATTTTGAGGAATATAATGAAAGGTAGGTACCTCTTTATTAATTGTTACAATAGCATAATTGCTAATTATAAAATTGTGGAACGTGTTATAGTGATTTTATATATGTATAACGTGAGTGCAGCTGCCATTTTAAGATGTACAAGGACTTTAATGTTTCGATTATTTTTGATAATTTTTTTCGCTAAAACTAAAAAGAATACAAGTTTATTTTTTGATTTTGTTATCACTTTGTGTGTCGACACGACATATTTAAATTAAGCTAATATTGAAACATTTGTAATGTATGTAAATTATAATTATTTTGAGAAATAAAATATCTTAAACCACAAATGAGATAGGATATTTTGAACACACGAAAGGCAAAACAAAAAATTGTTTTATATATTTATTAGTAGAACTTATTTTTAAGATTATTATCAAAAATCCCAATTAGTAATTATTATATAAGATTACGTAAAATATTCTAGATATTATGAGTATTATTGGCAATGACTAATAATTGACTGAAGGTAATCGATTTACAAAAATAATATTATTGAGTATTTAAGTTATTTCTTTGATTATTTATAGTTTCGAAAATCAAATATTGTTTGGCAATAAAATATTCATGTGGTATTATTATTATTATTTTCAGGCACTGGGATCAGTTTGATCCTTGCACTGGCAGTCGCTCGTGGATATGTAGTAGATACCAATAAGAATGGGTGCCCCACTGACTCAACCATTGAAAAGTTGCTTGAGCACGAATATTGCAACAAGTTCTATCAATGCTTAAGAGGTGAATTAGTCGAACACACGTGCCCAAAAGGTTTATTATTCAATATTGGAGTCGATCAATGCGATTGGTCAGAAAATGTTGACTGCGGAAACAGAGTCATAACAGATGATGAGCATATAGATGATTCTGACGAAGACGAGAGCAGTAACGATAGTGGTGGCAATTATGACCCTAGCGAGGCACCCATAATCTGTGCAACTAAAGGTTCCGATGGTGTACTAATAGCTCACGAGAACTGCAACCAGTTTTACAAATGTTCAGAAGGAGAACCAATAGCATTGTTCTGTCCAGAAAATCTTTTGTACAATCCAAAGACAGAACAATGCGACTGGCCTCAAAATGTACAGTGTGGCAACAGAGTTATCCCTGAAGATAATGAAAGTGCCGGAGGGGATAGCGGTGGTAATGGTGATGATGGTTTGGGAGTAGGCAGTGATGCTAACAACAGCAGTTGCAACTGTAATCCAGCAGAAGCTACCTCAATTTGCGCAGCTGAAGGATCTGAGGGTCAATTTATAGCCCATGAAAATTGTAACCAGTTGTATAAGTGTTGTGATGGCAAACCACAGACGATGACCTGTCCAACGGGCCTTCTTTATAATGCTTACCTTGAGCTATGTGATTGGCCTCAAAATGTTGAATGTGGTGATAGAGTAATCCCAGAAAGCAACGGAAATGGAGACGGTGGCAGTAGCGGAGGAGATAGTGGAGAGAGTGGCAGTGAAGGGGGTGGTGGCAGCGTTGATGGCGGGAACGGAGATAGTGGTAATGACAATAACAACACTTGCAATTGCAATCCCGAAGAAGCTCCCACAATCTGCGCTGCTGAAGGATCTGAAGGTGAATTTGTTGCTCATGAAAATTGTAATCAATTCTACAAATGCTGTAATGGAAAACCATTGACGATGACCTGTCCAGCAGGTCTTTTTTATAACGCTTACATTGAGTTATGCGATTGGCCTCAAAACGTACAGTGCGGTGACAGAGTTATTCCAGAAGATAATGGTGAGAGCGGCAGTGGCGGCGAAGGCAACGGTGGTGGTGACACTGAAGACGGTGGAGGCAACGGTGATGGCGAAACAGAAGGTGATGGTGAAGACAATAATAATACTTGCAACTGTAATCCCGCAGAAGCTCCTTCAATCTGCGCCGCCAAAGGATCAGAAGGTATTCTTGTTGCTCATGAAAATTGTAACCAGTTCTATATATGCTCCAACGGTTTGCCAGTAGTACAAAGTTGCCCTGTAAATCTGCTGTACAACCCTTACACTGAGCGATGCGATTGGCCTGAAAATGTACAATGTGGTGACAGAGTTATTCCAGGTAATGGAGACAGCGGCAGTAGCGTAGGAGGTGGTGGAAGTGATGGCGAATCTGGAGGCAGTGGAGACGACAGTAATAATACTTGCAACTGCAATCCTGGAGAAGCACCATCAATCTGCGCTTTAGAAAAATCAGAAGGCGTTTTCGTTGCTCATGTAAATTGTAACCAGTTCTATACATGCAACAATGGATTGCCCGTAGTGCAGAGTTGCCCTGTAAATCTGCTCTACAACCCTTACACTGAGCGCTGCGATTGGCCTGAAAACGTACAGTGCGGTGACAGAGTGATTCCAGAAGATAGTAATGATGGTGACAGTAACAGTAGCGGAGAAGAAAGCGGAGGTGGTGGCTCTGGAGGTGGTGATTCTGAGAGCGGTGGAGGTAACGGTGATGGCGGATCTGGAGGTGGTGGTAGCGACAACAACAATACTTGCAACTGCAATCCCGGAGAAGCTCCCTCAATCTGCGCCGTTGTGGGATCAGAGGGAATACTTGTTGCTCATGAAAATTGTAACCAGTTTTATACATGCTCCAATGGCTTGCCCGTAGTACAAAGTTGCCCTGCAAATCTGCTCTACAACCCTTACACAGAGCAATGCGATTGGCCCGAAAACGTACAGTGTGGTGACAGAGTGATTCCAGAAGACGTTCGATAATGGTGACAGTGGCAGTAGCGGAGAAGAAAGCGGAGGTGGTGGCTCTGGAGGCGGTGATTCCGAGGATGGTGGAAGTAACGGTGATAGCGGATCTGGAGGCAGTGGTAGCGACAATAACAATACTTGCAACTGTAATCCCGGAGAAGCTCCCTCAATCTGCGCCGTTGAAGGATCAGAGGGAATACTTGTTGCTCATGAGAATTGTAACCAGTTTTATACATGCTCCAATGGCTTGCCCGTAGTACAAAGTTGCCCTGTAAACCTGCTATACAACCCTTACACAGAGCAATGCGATTGGCCTGATAACGTACAGTGCGGTGACAGAGTGATTCCAGAAGATAGCGATGATGGTGACAGTAACAGTAGCGGAGAAGAAAGCGGAGGTGGTGGCTCTGGAGGCAGCGATTCTGAGGGCGCTGGAAGCAACGGTGATGGTGGATCTGGAGGCAGTGGTAGCGACAATAACAATACTTGCAACTGTAATCCCGGAGAAGCTCCCTCAATCTGCGCCGTTGAAGGATCAGAGGGAGTCCTTGTTGCTCATGAAAATTGTAACCAGTTCTACAAGTGCTCCAATGGCTTGCCCGTAATACAAAGTTGCCCTGTAAATCTGCTCTACAACCCTTACACAGAGCAATGCGATTGGCCTGAAAACGTACAGTGCGGTGACAGAGTGATCCCAGAAGATGGCGATAATGGTGATGATGGTAGTGGCGGAAGAAGAAAGCGGAAGTGGTGGCTCTGAAGGCGGTGATTCTGAGGGCGCTGGAGGCAACGGAGACGGTGGATCTGCAGGTAGTGGTAGCGACAATAACAATACTTGCAACTGCAATCCCGGAGAAGCTCCCTCAATTTGCGCCGTTGTAGGATCAGAGGGAATACTTGTTGCTCATGAAAATTGTAACCAGTTTTATACATGCTCCAATGGCTTGCCCGTAGTACAAAGTTGCCCTGTAAACCTGCTCTACAACCCTTACACAGAGCAATGCGATTGGCCTGAAAACGTACAGTGCGGTGACAGAGTGATCCCAGAAGATGGCGATAATGGTGACAGTGGCAGTGGCGGAGAAGAAAGCGGAGGTGGTGGCTCTGGAGGCAGTGATTCCGAGGGCGCTGGAAGCAACGGGGATAGCGGATCTGGAGGCAGTGGTAGCGACAATAACAATACTTGCAACTGTAATCCCGGAGAAGCTCCCTCAATCTGCGCCGTTGAAGGATCAGAGGGAGTCCTTGTTGCTCATGAGAATTGTAACCAGTTTTATACATGCTCCAATGGCTTGCCCGTAGTACAAAGTTGCCCTGTAAACTTGCTCTACAACCCTTACACAGAGCAATGCGATTGGCCTGATAACGTACAGTGCGGTGACAGAGTGATTCCAGAAGATTGCGATGATGGTGACAGTAACAGTAGCGGAGAAGAAAGCGGAGGTGGTGGCTCTGGAGGCGGTGATTCCGAGGATGGTGGAAGCAACGGTGATGGTGGATCTGGAGGCAGTGGTAGCGATAATAACAATACTTGCAACTGTAATCCCGGAGAAGCTCCCTCAATCTGCGCCGTTGAAGGATCAGAGGGAATCCTTGTTGCTCATGAAAATTGTAACCAGTTCTACAAGTGCTCCAATGGCTTGCCCGTAATACAAAGTTGCCCTGTAAATCTGCTCTACAACCCTTACACAGAGCAATGCGATTGGCCTGAAAACGTACAGTGCGGTGACAGAGTGATCCCAGAAGATGGCGATAATGGTGATAGTGGCAGTGGCGGAGAAGAAAACGGAGGTGATGGCTCTGGAGGCGGTGATTCCGAGGATGGTGGAAGTAACGGGGATAGCGGATCTGGAGGCAGTGGTAGCGACAATAACAATACTTGCAACTGTAATCCTGGAGAAGCTCCCTCAATCTGCGCCGTTGAAGGATCAGGAGGAATCCTTGTTGCTCATGAGAATTGTAACCAGTTTTATACATGCTCCAATGGCTTGCCCGTAGTACAAAGTTGCCCTATAAACCTGCTCTACAACCCTTACACAGAGCAATGCGATTGGCCTGAAAACGTACAGTGCGGTGACAGAGTGATTCCAGAAGATAGCAATGATGGTGACAGTAACAGTAGCGGAGAAGAAAGCGGAGGTGGTGGCTCTGGAGGCAGCGATTCTGAGGGCGCTGGAGGCAACGGTGATGGTGGATCTGGAGGCAGTGGTAGCGACAATAACAATACTTGCAACTGCAATCCCGGAGAAGCTCCCTCAATCTGCGCTGTTGAAGGATCAGAGGGAGTCCTTGTTGCTCATGAAAATTGTAACCAGTTCTATAAGTGCTCCAATGGCTTGCCCGTAATACAAAGTTGCCCTGTAAATCTGCTCTACAACCCTTACACAGAGCAATGCGATTGGCCTGAAAACGTACAGTGCGGTGACAGAGTGATCCCAGAAGATGGCGATAATGGTGATGATGGTAGTGGCGGAGAAGAAAGCGGAAGTGGTGGCTCTGAAGGCGGTGATTCTGAGGGCGCTGAAGGCAACGGAGGCGGTGGATCTGGAGGTAGTGGTAGCGACAATAACAATACTTGCAACTGCAATCCCGGAGAAGCTCCCTCAATTTGCGCCGTTGTAGGATCAGAGGGAATACTTGTTGCTCATGAAAATTGTAACCAGTTTTATACATGCTCCAATGGCTTGCCTGTAGTACAAAGTTGCCCTGTAAACCTGCTCTACAACCCTTACACAGAGCAATGCGATTGGCCTGAAAACGTACAGTGCGGTGACAGAGTGATTCCAGAAGATAGCAATGATGGTGACAGTAACAGTAGCGGAGAAGAAAGCGGAGGTGGTGGCTCTGGAGGCAGTGATTCTGAGGGCGCTGGAGGCAACGGTGATGGTGGATCTGGAGGCAGTGGTAGCGATAATAACAATACTTGCAACTGTAATCCCGGAGAAGCTCCCTCAATCTGCGCCGTTGAAGGATCAGAGGGAATCCTTGTTGTTCATGAAAATTGTAACCAGTTCTATAAGTGCTCCAATGGCTTGCCCGTAATACAAAGTTGCCCTGTAAATCTGCTCTACAACCCTTACACAGAGCAATGCGATTGGCCTGAAAACGTACAGTGCGGTGACAGAGTGATCCCAGAAGATGGCGATAATGGTGATAGTGGCAGTGGCGGAGAAGAAAACGGAGGTGATGGCTCTGGAGGCGGTGATTCCGAGGATGGTGGAAGTAACGGGGATAGCGGATCTGGAGGCAGTGGTAGCGACAATAACAATACTTGCAACTGTAATCCTGGAGAAGCTCCCTCAATCTGCGCCGCTGAAGGATCAGGAGGAATCCTTGTTGCTCATGAGAATTGTAACCAGTTTTATACATGCTCCAATGGCTTGCCCGTAGTACAAAGTTGCCCTATAAACCTGCTCTACAACCCTTACACAGAGCAATGCGATTGGCCTGAAAACGTACAGTGCGGTGACAGAGTGATTCCAGAAGATAGCAATGATGGTGACAGTAACAGTAGCGGAGAAGAAAGCGGAGGTGGTGGCTCTGGAGGCAGCGATTCTGAGGGCGCTGGAGGCAACGGTGATGGTGGATCTGGAGGCAGTGGTAGCGACAATAACAATACTTGCAACTGTAATCCCGGAGAAGCTCCCTCAATCTGCGCTGTTGAAGGATCAGAGGGAGTCCTTGTTGCTCATGAAAATTGTAACCAGTTCTATAAGTGCTCCAATGGCTTGCCCGTAATACAAAGTTGCCCTGTAAATCTGCTCTACAACCCTTACACAGAGCAATGCGATTGGCCTGAAAACGTACAGTGCGGTGACAGAGTGATCCCAGAAGATGGCGATAATGGTGATGATGGTAGTGGCGGAGAAGAAAGCGGAAGTGGTGGCTCTGAAGGCGGTGATTCTGAGGGCGCTGGAGGCAACGGAGACGGTGGATCTGGAGGCAGTGGTAGCGACAATAACAATACTTGCAACTGCAATCCCGGAGAAGCTCCCTCAATTTGCGCCGTTGTAGGATCAGAGGGAATACTTGTTGCTCATGAAAATTGTAACCAGTTTTATACATGCTCCAATGGCTTGCCTGTAGTACAAAGTTGCCCTGTAAATCTGCTCTACAACCCTTACACAGAGCAATGCGATTGGCCTGAAAACGTACAGTGCGGTGACAGAGTGATTCCAGAAGATGGCAATGATGGTGACAGTAACAGTAGCGGAGAAGAAAGCGGAGGTGTTGGATCTGGAGGCAGCGATTCTGAGGGCGCTGGAGGCAACGGTGATGGTGGCGACAATAACAATACTTGCAACTGTAATCCCGGAGAAGCTCCCTCAATCTGCGCCGTTGAAGGATCAGAGGGAGTCCTTGTTGCTCATGAAAATTGTAACCAGTTCTATAAGTGCTCCAATGGCTTGCCCGTAATACAAAGTTGCCCTGTAAATCTGCTCTACAACCCTTACACAGAGCAATGCGATTGGCCTGAAAACGTACAGTGCGGTGACAGAGTGATCCCAGAAGATGGCGATAATGGTGATAGTGGCAGTGGCGGAGAAGAAAACGGAGGTGATGGCTCTGGAGGCGGTGATTCTGAGGGCGCTGAAGGCAACGGAGACGGTGGATCTGGAGGTAGTGGTAGCGACAATAACAATACTTGCAACTGCAATCCCGGAGAAGCTCCCTCAATCTGCGCCGTTGTAGGATCAGAGGGAATACTTGTTGCTCATGAAAATTGTAACCAGTTTTATACATGTATCAATGGCTTGCCTGTAGTACAAAGTTGCCCTGTAAATCTGCTCTACAACCCTTACACAGAGCAATGCGATTGGCCCGATAACGTACAGTGCGGCGACAGAGTGATTCCAGAAGATAGCGATAATGGTGATGATGGTAGTGGCGGAGAAGAAAGCGGCAGTGGTGGCTCTGGAGGCGGTGATTCTGAGGGCGCTGGAGGCAACGGAGATGGTGGATCTGGAGGTAGTGGTAGCGACAATAACAATACTTGCAACTGCAATCCCGGAGAAGCTTCCTCAATTTGCGCCGTTGTAGGATCAGAGGGAATACTTGTTGCTCATGAAAATTGTAACCAGTTTTATACATGTATCAATGGCTTGCCTGTAGTACAAAGTTGCCCTGTAAATCTGCTCTACAACCCTTACACAGAGCAATGCGATTGGCCCGATAACGTACAGTGCGGTGACAGAGTGATTCCAGAAGATAGCGATAATGGTGATGATGGTAGTGGCGGAGAAGATAGCGGAAGTGGTGGCTCTGGAGGCGGTGATTCTGAGGGCGCTGGAGGCAACGGAGATGGTGGATCTGGAGGTAGTGGTAGCGACAATAACAATACTTGCAACTGCAATCCCGGAGAAGCTCCCTCAATTTGCGCCGTTGTAGGATCAGAGGGAATACTTGTTGCTCATGAAAATTGTAACCAGTTTTATACATGTATCAATGGCTTGCCTGTAGTACAAAGTTGCCCTGTAAATCTGCTCTACAACCCTTACACAGAGCAATGCGATTGGCCCGATAACGTACAGTGCGGCGACAGAGTGATTCCAGAAGATTGCGATGATGGTGATAGTAACAGTGGCGGAGAAGAAAGTGTAGGTGGTGATTCTGAGAGCGGTGGAGCCAACGGTGGTGGCGAATCTGAAGGCAGTGGTAGCGAAAATAACAATACTTGCAACTGTAATCCCGGAGAAGCTCCCTCAATCTGCGCCGTTGAAGGATCAGAGGGAATCCTTGTTGCTCATGAAAATTGTAACCAGTTCTATACATGCTCCAATGGCTTGCCCTTAGTACAAAGTTGCCCTGTAAATCTGCTCTACAACCCTTATACAGAGCAATGCGATTGGCCTGATAACGTACAGTGCGGTGACAGAGTGATTCCAGAAGATAGCGATGATGGTGATAGTAACAGTAGCGGAGAAGAAAGTGTGGGTGGTGATTCTGAGAGCGGTGGAGGCAACGGTGACGGCATATCTGGAGGCGGTGGTAGCGACAATAACAACACTTGCAATTGTGATCCAGGAGAAGCTCCCACAATCTGTGCCGCTGATGGATCAGAAGGCATCCTTGTTGCTCATGAAAATTGTAACCAGTTCTATATATGTTCTAACGGTTTGCCCGTAGTACAAAGTTGTCCTGTAAATCTGCTCTACAACCCTTACACTGAGCAATGCGATTGGCCGGCAAACGTACAATGCGGTGACAGAGTAATTCCTGAAGATTGCGGTAATGGAGACAGCGGCAGTGATGGAGGAGAAAACGAAGGTGGTGATAGCGGATCTGAAAGCGGTGATAGTGATAATAATAACACTTGCAACTGCAATCCCAGAAAAGCTCCTTCAATTTGCGCCGTTGAAGGATCAGAAGGTGTTCTTGTTGCTCATGAAAATTGTAACCAATTCTATACGTGCTCCAACGGCTTGCCAGTAGTACAAAATTGTCCTGTAAATCTGCTGTACAACCCTTATACTGAGCGATGCGATTGGCCAGACAAAGTAGATTGTGGTAATCGTATTATATCCGATAACGAAAAAGAAAATAATGATGCTGAAGACATCAAACCTGAATCTGGTAACAGTGATCCTAGTAAAGCACCTGCTATCTGTGCTACTGAAGGTTCCGATGGAGTTCTAATTGCTCACGAAATTTGCAACCAATTCTACAAATGCTATGAAGGTATACCAGTCGTCTTTAATTGCTCACCAAATCTTTTATACAATCCTGTGCACGAATGGTGCGATTGGGCACAGAATGTAGATTGTGGTGATAGAATTCAATAACTTGCATACATTTGCAACATACATGGCGACTCTATGCTTTAATAAGTTTATAGAATAATGTAATTTTGATTCTTTTAAAACTTTGGATGTGTTGTTATACCAAAAAACATACATTATTAAATTTAAAACATGTGGGATTGCCAACCTGTTGGTGTTATTATCCCATTGTTCTCCCAAGTTGCTCGAGCCATTAAGACATAAAAAATATGTTATAACTTTCAATATGATGGCTTTTATATTCTTTTGGTTTTATTTGTAATATTTATTTATTTAGTTTGATTTATGAATAATAAACTGCACTGTTACTTAAGAAGTTTGTTTTATTCACGCTATCAAACTGAAGCTAGAGTTTATAGATATCCAAGACTCCGATTTTTTGATGGATGGTGGTTTAAAGTTACTAATTCAGCCAGACCCACGTCGGTCATTTATGCGCTGATGATCCACATTTAATCATCTTAATGTGTCGTATTTTCGTTGCATGGCATCGACGTATACTATAATAGCTAGTTTGGACGCAAAGTTATACGCAAACATGTCTTTTTTTAAATATAATAAGAGTGACAAACGAGAACACAGTCCACCTGATGATAGTAGATGAGTTATCGCCAAATGACAAACGCCATTATTAATGCCGTTGTCAAATTAACGCATTAAGTCGCGGCCACACCTACATTTAACGTCTATCAAAGCGATAGGTAACGGCATTTCTAGTCTGTGTGGTCCCAGCATAAGATTATACAAAAAAATGATGAAATAAACAAGTCTAGAAATAATAAAATAATTACTTGATTTGTTTGATAATCAAATATGTTGAGTTTTATAAAATAATACTTAGTTTTGTTTTCTTTATTTTACTTGTCCCCCCCCCTCCCGTTTGGGTGGGGGACATAAATTTTCATTTTTAGTTAAAAAGAGTCACCGATAAAATTGCGTGATTCCTATAAATTAAAAATAATGAAAATATAAAAATAGTGCCGTCAATGAAATCATATACACACCGTCAGATTGCACCATCAGAAAGGTGGGATCATAACTGTCACCTAAGTCTTTATGAGCCCTTTCAAATGAGTTCAAACACGATCATCATCTAGTTTCGTCACTGAGATCCTATACTCCCCTTCGGAGTCCACCATCATCAGGTATGTGAGATCATCACCTTGGTATTTAAATGAGTCTAAAAACGATGGTTCTACGCAGTGGCATAACTGAGATAGTTTACCCAGAAATTGAGTCCGCCATCAGTAATGTGAGAGTCCCACTCGGGTCTTTATGAACCCTTTCAAATGAATCCAAACACATTGGTTCTATGTAGTGCCGTCACTGAGATTCTAAACTTACCTTCGGATTTCACCATAAGGAAGGTGAAATCATCACATTCATCTAGGTCATTATGAGTACCTTTCAAATGAGTCCAAACACAACGCTTCTACGTAATGTTGCCCAAATGCAAGAACAAGACGAGACTTAGCCAGTCTTGGTCTTGGTCTTGCGCCAATACACCTGGTCTTGTTCTCGGTCTTGGTATTGCGCTCTCAGTCTTGTTCTTGGTCTTGGTCTTGCAGCAAGAGTCTCGCAAGTCTCGCAATTACCTATTAGCCTATTGTTATTTATTAAAAGTTACTTTAGATCTTAGAACAACTTAACAGAGTAGACACATTTTGAGCTTGAATTAACATTGTCATGGAAAGACCAACCAAATCAATAAATGTCTATACATTTAATGAAAAATTCGAAAAATCAACTAATACCGGGTGAGGTATTAACCCACAACCTAAGCGATCCGTGCCGATGCTCTAACCAACTGTCTACCAAGTCTCACGGCCACGGGAGTTAGTCTTTTACTTAATAAACGTATACATTTAATAAGCTTACATGTGCTAAAACTTAGTCAAAACATATAAAAAACAAATTAATGACATTAACTTGACTGTATTATAAAGAACATTATCTGTCTAGAAAGAGATTGATGGACCCTTATATGAAATGGAATAAAAGAGTTATACAATTTACCATTTATTTAAATAAAAAAATAAAATACAATACAAATTAAATTACATAACAGTACACAACAGCTTTGACATTACTGTTACTTTACATTAATTCTTTTGACCAAGAATTAATACAAAGTAACCATCTGGCTGACTCATCACTTAACCTATTTCTATGTTTTCTAATTACTAATGATGCTTTAGAAAATAATCTCTCAGCAGGTACTGAAGTTGCAGGTATTGAAAGAAAATAACGGGCCATCTTCGATAAAGTCGGATATTCTGTCTCATGCGTCCTCCACCACTCTAAAATGTCTTCCGAACTGGCGGCTCTGGGTTTACTTAGGTACTCCTCCAACTCGTCTATAACTAAGCCTTGATGAAAAGATCCAGATCCAGATGACGTCGAGAGACATGCGTACAATTTCTCAAAGTCTATTACGTCTTCATCTTCATCATATTCACATACTTTCTTTTCATTTCTTGGTGATTCTAAAGATGTATTCACTGAGTGTAGACTTTTATATTCTTTATAAAGTTCATTAAATTTGCGCAGGCTTTCTGTTTTAATTTGCTTCCCCCATAATGTCATGTCAAAAGTCTGAGTCTTATGCCTTGGGTCTAAAATTAAAGAGGTACAATAAATCCAGTTGCTCTTTTTATAATGTTTAAGCATTTTGTCTCGAGCTGCTTGAAAACCCAGAATGAGCCTTTCACCCACTTCGGATCGATTAGGTTTCTCATCTAATTGTTTTACCATGGATTCAATTTTATCGAGCAAGAGATTGAATGATACAATGACTACCGGTAATGTAACATATTTTTCTACACCAAGTTTCGTTGATAGAAGTTTAAAGTTTATTAGAAACTTACGTATTTTTTCGAGTTTTTGCCATTCATTATCTGTGATTTGAAAATAATTCAATTCGGTGACAGAAGTGCACAATATGTTAATGCCAGTTCTCACTTTTAAACCAAATTCAATCATATCATGTGTGGAATTCTATCTCGTATATGGGTAATGGAATCTTCACAAATACTGAAACTTCCTCTTCAATATCTCACTTCTTTTTATTTTACTGGAAATACTGCGTAATTTTGTTATAGCTGTACGTGAGTCAGCAATATTTGGCGCATATTATTCATCTTCCTAAGTTTCGTCTTCATTATCTTCATAATGCTGTTCTTGTTCCTTATTGTCAATTTCACTGTGTAATGCTAAGGTCTTTAATAAATCTTGTACACCAAGGTTCAAAATGTGAGCAAAGCATTGGAAATGTTGATTGTCTGAATCAAAGTGTGGCAGCTGTTTGTCCAATTCATACATAAATTTGGTATTTGCAGTTGCATTGTCGACCGTGATACCCTGTATTTTATCAATTATGTCATATTCCATTAAACATTCGTGGAAAGTCGTTGCAATATCTTCCCCAGTATGTCGACCGCGTGATGGTATAAAATCAAGGACTACAGATCGATACTTCCATTCGTTGTCTATATAATGAATAGTGACCCCGTAGTAACTCCTACCATCAATTGAGGTCCATCTATCAATGGTAAATGACATTTTAGATGAAAATTGTTGTAGTCGTTTCTTAAGATTCAAGTGAAGCTCTTCAAACCGTTCTTTGACCTTTCTTCTAAGTGTGGACCTTTTAGGAAACACCATATTTGGGCAAATTGATCGAAAATATACTTGTGTAGCTTCGTCAACGAAAAATGAGAAGGGAAGATATTTTTTAACCATCCAATCAACTGTAGCTGTCGTGATGTTGTCACTGCTATTTTCAGACTGAAATAAAACAGTAAATCATGTGTCTCGCCGATTATAAAAACAAACGAAAATACGAGTGAATTATAAATACATATTTAACACTATAATTATATATATATATATATATATATATATATATATATATATATATATATATATATATATATATAAACTACCACTCACTGACTGACTATAACGATATCCCAGGAACTATAAAACATACAAACTTGAAGTTTGTAAGGTAGGTTCCTTTTATGGTATAGAGATCAGTTAAGAAACTGTTTTGAGAAAATCTATCCCTAAGGGAGTGAAATGGGAGTTGGAAGTTTGTATGAAAGTCCTACGTTTTTGAAGTTAGAGACACGAAAATCGGTATTAAAGTTATAAGTTTTCAATAATAAAATCCTGAATAAGTCGTTTTACGAAATCCTAACCCTAAGGGGGTGAAATTGGGGTAAAATGGTTACATGCAAGTCCTATATTTTTAAAGTATAGATATGAAGATCGATATTTACTTTATTAGTTTTAAATAATAAATACTTGCATAGTTAAGCTTTACCTATATAGCCTCTTTATACTTAGGTAAGACTTTTGCAGCGAGAAAATTTAAAAATCTCATAGGAAATCAGATATTGTACGCGGACGAAGTCGCAGGCGGCCGCTAGTTACATAATATATGTGTTATGTAATTGTGTGATAAGTATATTTTTTCTTACCTGTCCACTTTTTCCGGTGGTTATTAAAAAGCTTGTGATATCTGCACTTAATTTTTTTCAGGAAGAAATATCTGTGATTCCTTTTTGTAGAAAGATATTAGATGCTTCCTTAAGCCTGAAGTGTTTCTGTTTTTCATTTTTATTTCAACCTTTTCATGTTGGCATAATTTACACAAAGCAATTTGGGATGCATGAAATATGTCGAAAAAGTCATCAAATTTACTTTTAGGTCTTTTAGATCTATAACTCCAACTCTCACTACTCCGACTAGAACTATTCGACTCTTCGTCACTCAAGTCAAATTGCACACTTATCACTCCGAGAACAACAAGGATTGGAGTAAAAACAATTAATACATTAGACTCGAAGCAAAGCTCAATTGGGAATGACTGGAATTAAAATAAATACTACTATTTGTAAGTACACGCCGAAAGACCGACAAAGGAAAGTTCGGCATCCTTTGATAAAATTAATGATTCTTCAGAAGATTAATAAAGTAGATGCGTTGCCAGATATGTA